TTTACTTTTCTGTGTAGTTAGATATTTTCTAATGTAACTAATCAAAAATAATGAAAAAGAACTATGGACATGTAGTAGGGAAACCACCTCCAGTAGTCCTCCCACCTTGGCATCCCAGAGTGCTAGGATTACAGATGTGAGCCATGGCTCCGATGAGTACAAAGGTTCTTTTTTTTTTTTTTTACTTTTCTGTGTAGTTAGATATTTTCTAATGTAACTAATCAAAAATAATGAAAAAGAACTATGGACATGTAGTAGGGAAACCACCTCCAGTAAGACCCAAGCGCAAGTCATGATGGAAAACACGGACGTTTGGCCTTACCAAGATTTAAAATCATAGTACCAGTCTCATTTTTGCCCCCAACTGAAGTCCGTTGCATCTCAAAACAAAAACCATCAAAGACAAATCTTCCCCATCTCCGCATCACAGCCCACCCTGTCGCGCACCTCCCTTCACCATGTGCTGGAAAAGAACAGTCTACACTGAACTGTCCCAGCCGCCTCCCTTCCCCGGCAGTCTGCAGACGCCGCGCTCACACTGTCCCGCTCGCCTCACCCGGGCCAGGTGCTTCCCACTCTGCGCGGTCTGCGCCCCATCTCCCCACTCGACGTTCTCGCAGCCCTGTCCAGCCCTCGCACCTCCACGCTGCCGGTGCGCTGTGATCGCGTCCCGAGGGCGGCCGAGGGCTGCCCAGCAGGACCGCGCTCGGGCTGCCAGACCTACTCCAAGCCCTCCGCAGCCCGCCTCATTGCCCCAGGCAGCGCCCATCATCTTGCGCCTCTTACCCCTTACAAATGCGGCTCCCTTGTCCCGGAATTCCCTTTTGCCCCTTTCGCCTACCCAGACCTTAGTTTTATTTAATCTGACCTGAAGCCACCCCTGCCCCCGTCAGAAGCGACCCTCCCTCCCCTGGATGTGCGCGCACCCAACTGGGACAACTCTCAGGACGCCTGCCCCTTAGTAGCCTCTACGTGTTAACGTGACAGGCATCTCTACAGGACTCCAGCCGAGGATGGGACCCAGTCCTCTGCTTCCCCAGCACCTGACCCAGGAGCTCGGCAAACGTTTGTTGAATGCCCAGAGACCCCTGTAATAACAACCATCTCACACGCTCCGTGTCCCTCGCATCTCAGTGCCTACCGCCCACCGCGACTTGGGGTCTGCGGGAGCCACGGAAGGTTGGAGAGAAAGGGAAGGGGGCTTTCCCCAGCGTCCCTCCTGCCACCCAGAGACTTGGCACTAGTGGAGGAGTTCAGGGGAGGAGGCGACACGAGTGGAGTGGAGTTCAGGGGAGGAGGCACGAATGGAGTTCAGGGGCCCGGATGGGTAGAGAAGCTCCAGGTCAAGGGGCGGGAACGAACCCACCCTGGGCAAGAGCGGGGTCCTCTGGGCAGAGGGGATGAGCCCCCAGCTCACCTGGGTCCAGGCTGTCACCTCAGGTTCCCTTACTCCAGCCTCCGGGACAGTGGGCTCCAAAGAGGCAGAGCTGCAGGAGGAGAGAGGAGCCGTGAGACGCGAGGTCTGCCGCTGCTCCCGGACCCCCTACCAGTAGCGTCCCCCAGCCCAACTTGCCAGCACCCCGACACCCTGCGAGGACGTCTGCGAGCCCGCGCCCGTCCCCGGTCTCACGCCGTGCCGGCTCTGCAGCAAGTGGGTCCAGCCACCCTCGCGCTCTATAAGCAGCCCCGAGCGGAGGCACCGCCTCCTCGGCACTACACGAGGACTTCAGGACTGCGCTGGTCCACGGTGCCACGGTCGCCGTGGGAACGGCGCGGTGCGGAAGTACGCATGTCCCAGTCCAACACCCCAAAACACTGAGTAAGAGACCCCTCCCAGGAGGGGGCACTACAACTCCCAGAAGCCACCGCATCACCGCGCTTCCGGTCAGCCGGACGCGCTTCCGGCCACGGCCCGGTCACAACAGGCTGGCGTGGGCAGGCAGGACGTGGCGGCATGGCCTGAACCCGACACCTCCGCGGCGTCCGCGGTCTGCCGGAGGACGCGTCCCCTCCCACGTACTCCACTGACAGTGACCCCCGAGCCTCACACAGACCTGGTCTGATCTGTCCCCTGCCCCGAGCCATCTTGTGGGTTATGGCTGCCCCGAGCTAAGAAGTCCGACCTGGGCCTGGCACTGGGTGGTCTCATGATAAGAATTTTATTTTTAAATAAAGGCCTATCCTTCAGTCCTCATGACAATCCCCCCAAATAGGTGTCATTATCCCCATTTCACAGATGAGGAATCAGAGGCACCCTGTCTCAATCTTTACCCTGGAGGAACCTGTGAAACAATCTCGGGGAACCCCCTGCATAAAAATTATGTCTGCAGCGCATGATGAGATTAGGTGATCATTGGGCCGGGTGGCTCACGCCTGTAATCCTAGCACTTTGGGAGGCCAGCTCAGAGGATCACTTGAGCCAGAAGTTCCAGACCATTCTGGGCAACACAGCAAGACCCTGTCTCTACAACAAAAAGAAAAATTAGCCCAGCATGGTAACGCTTGCTTGTGGTCCCAGCTACTCGGGAGGCTGAGG